TGAATAAAAATTAATTGCTCTAGAATTAAGAAGCAATTTCAAACGGAATTTTATTAGTGGTTTTAATGAGGAGGCCAACTATTGATATTTAAAGTCTTGAAAAAAATTATTTTATGGAAAATTAAATACTTGAAGATAAGTTTATTTCAATTAAATATTGTCCCTTCATTTTTTTTATTGCAAAATTTTTGGTAGAACTATTGTACAAGAAGTAAAGAAAATTTTACAGCACCAACAAATATTTAAAAGAAAACAACTGTAACAGTAAGTATTTTTAAAAAATCTTATCCAAAACAATAGTTTAATGCAAAGTAAAAAAATTAATTTTTTTTTGTACTCGTGCGGGAGGATGGGTGAGTGTGAAAATTTTGTAAAATATACTTAGTGGAAAATTTTTCATTTTTAATTAAAATAAAGTAATTAATGCTTTCATTTTTTTTTTTTTTAATTGCAACCTGGTATATATTTACGGCCGAATGGTCAACTAGATGTCGAAGAAAAAAAGAGAAAAAATAGAAAATAGTCGCGAATGATGCAGCCTAACAACGCGTAAAGCGAAAATCCTCGGAATAGTACGTGAGTTCTTGGCCTCGACTTTCCACGCTATTAGTACTTATATATATGCACGCAGCGCGCTCTAACCAAGCGGAAAATCAGCGATTCTCATTCAAATTTTATTCGACGATTCTGGAACTCTCCTTTTCGTTCGATCGCTCAGAGGAGTCGTAAAGTCGGTTTTTTCATTTTACTATTTTTAACGACGGTAAGAATTTTGTTGGCATGTAAAAAAATATTTTTCCACAAAAATAAAAAATTTGGATGAAAATTAATGTATGAATGTGAAATTAATTTTTTTTAATCGCTATACCTAATGCAGGAAAGAGTAATCTAGCTTGTAGTATTGGTGTAATTCGCGGTTTTTGTCAATTGATAAGGACTTTTCCTCCTAGAATTAATATAAATCTAATGAATAAAGTATTGTAAAGTCCTTTTGTTCACTTATGTTGGAGTAAAATTACATGTATATTTGGCTTTAGGTCACGGTACAGTTTGATATAAGATTTTTGTTCTGTAACCTTTTAAAATTGTATTTAAGAAATAATTTTGAAAAAAGTGTATAAGATGTGGTAAAAGTATTTGTTCATGTGGTATTGAAATAAATGTATTTATAGGAAAATTTTGTCCATCAAAAAATTATGTTCGTTGTATTTACTGTTATCTTTAAAAATTAATTTAATAAAAAATTTAATTAA